GCGTTTCTTTTCCCGAGCCAGTGGTCGGGGAAGCTCCAAGGAAAAACCCAGGAGGGGTGGCTTCATCTGGAACTAACTCTAAATCCATGCGGACTGCGGGATGCGAGCACTGTCTGGCCGAGTTGCTGGGGACTGTGGAAGGTTGCCTGTCCCCTAATCCCCCTATCCCCCGGGCCGGGAAGTGTGTGCCGTGCTGGAAAGGACGGTTTGCCGGGGTTGGGTGGCTCCTGCCTTTGTCTGAGGTTGGGTCAGTTTGTTTTAAACTGATGCAGGAGAGAAGAAGGAGCAAAGATATGATTAGCACTTTGCCTCACTCCTCTGCCCCCTCTCCTGCACGATGTTCCCCCCCAGCTCTTGTCTTGCCCCGGCAGCAGACCACTTTTCACCTTAAATCACTGGTGACAGCTGAGTGTCACCCAAGGGGTGGCTAAAATGCTTCATTCCTTTCCCCTCTCATTATTTTGGGGCTTTTCTGGGGGTGTGGAGGTTAAATAAGGACACTGAGACTTCTGGGGTGGTTCTTTCCGTGGTAGGAAAGGTTTGTGGTGCCGCAGAGCCTGGTTCCCCACCCAATTCCTTCCCTGATTTTCCACCATTGTTGCATTAAGCTGTGTGATCTGGGGCTTTTTTACAAACCCACTTACGACCCCTCCTGCCCACAGGGATTTTTCCTGTTTCCCCTTGTCCAGACCTGAGTCTAACTCACATTGCAGCTCACAGCAAAACATTCCCACAGGGCAGGATCCAGCCTGCTGCTTACTTTCCAGCCGCTGTCTGAGGGGGAATCTGGAAATGGCTGTGTTTTTCCAGCTCCATCATACCATGAGGAGCCAAGGGACAGCACTGCTGCCAGGTGGGGGGTCTTGCTCTGGCAGCTGTGGTGGGGTGAAGCTGACAGCTGTTGGTGCAGGCACAGGGGAAATGTTGGAGTGGGTGCTGATAGCTTAACGCTGGTGAAATATCATCTTGGAGCTGTGGTTTGCATTCCCACAGGAAGTTTTGCAAGCCTGGGAGCAGAGCTGGGGGGGTTCTATATGTTCCCCTCCCCCCTCAGATACTACAAATTGGCTATCACACAGTGTGTCCCAAGAACTGCTAAACCTATGTTGCAACTTCCAAGGAAAATCACAATGTAAACATTGTATGAACTGTAGCTTCCCTAAAAGGTTCAGCTCTGTTTTCTACCCCGGCACGATTGTAAATACTTATTTATTTATTGGAATTATACCCTATGTGATGTACAGTCATGCAGTGATTCTGTGTGGAGACCAATAAAGCTTCTACAGTCTGATTTATAGAAAGCTGCTAACGAAATACTCTCTCTCCTCTTCCCAAAAAATGAGTGGTTTTCCTCAGTGAGCTCAGAAGTCACCAAAAAACCCAGGAGCATTCAGGGCAGCAAGAGCCTGAAAACATGTACAACTAGTTAGTTCCCTGGTGTGATTAAAATAGAAGGAATGAGCCATAAATAATGGAGAACAAGGATAACATTAAAAGGACAAAGTTAAACCCCAAACAAGCTGAAAATGGCTCATTTAATGCCACCTCAGTGTTGGCCAAACTGGTGTCACCCCCATGCTGTTCCTAAACCCAAGTTCCTGAGGGTTTCAAGTTTACCAAGGATTTGGTTCTTCTGGGTTTTCTTGTGGAAAATACAATCTGGGTCCTGTGCATGCTAAAATCTAACGAATTTTGGTGGTGGGATCTCACTCTGCTATGGATGTAGCAGCACTGACAGGCTGTGGGGCTTTTCCCTGTTTCTCAGGGCATGGTTGGGAAGACTTGGGAATTGTTACTTATTATTCTAGAGGTGCATGAGCCCTGTGGCATTTTTGGATCCTCCCTGTCCCCAATCCCAGTGGAGTGCTGAAGGTAACAGCAATAACGACTCAGTTCCTGGAATTCACTGTATCCCAGGCCAGTTTTATGGCTTTTTATTTTGGTGAACTGCACAGCACAAGCAGGGACCAGCAGTGTGGGGCACAGCAATCCATCCCCTCTCCATCCAGAGTCCCCTTTCTTCATGCCCAGGGTCTGGCATGGTGTAGGGACACCCTAGAAGGTGGTGGTCTTTGTGAGGAGAGGGCCGGGTTTGCAGCAGGGCTCGGGGTGCACAGGGTCCTGCTGGCAGGGAAGGGGTGGGCACACGCAGCCCTTCCCCTTGTCATCCCCCCGGGGAGCAGCACAGTAGTCGAGGGGCTCTTCCTCATCATCATCCTCCTCGGTGTCCCTGTCCCTGTTGTGGCAGCAGCACAGGCTGGTGTCGAGGCAGCGGCGCAGCACACCGTGGAAGGAGTGCCGGAAATTTTCTGAGAGGAAGCCATAAAGGATGGGGTTGGCACAGCTGTTGGAGTAGCTGAGGATGAGGGAGGCATTGTTGACAGTGGCATCCAGGCGTCCGGGCAGCAGGAGGTTGACCAGCTGCACCACATAGAAGGGCATCCAGCAGACCACAAACATGGCCACCACCATGAGCACCAGGCGTGTCAGCTTGCCCTCGGAGCGCCGGCGCTGTTGCCAGCCCACGCGCTGTGCCACCGCCCGCATCTTCCCCACTATTAGCAGGTAGCACAGCCCCATGGCCAACACTGGCAGCAAGAAGCCCAACAAGGTGGTGTAGACCACAAAAGCAGCTGACCACGCTGGACTTGGCCACAGCAGGTTGCAGGCCACTGCTTGGCCGTCGCGGGTGGTGGCCGTCCCGGCAAAGATGGGGATGGGCGAAGCCACCAGCAAGGAGAGGAGCCACACGCCGCCATTGACCATCTTGGCTACCTGAGGCCGGCGGTAGGTGGCTGCCCGCAGTGGGTGCACCACAGCTATGTAGCGGTCCAGGCTGAGGACGGTCAAGCAGAAGACGCTGGTGAACATGTTGAGTCCATCAACACCCAAGACGGTGCGGCACAGCGCCCGGCCAAAGGGCCAGTGGTGCAGCGCGGCTGAGGTGGCCACAAAGGGGATGCTGAGCATGAAGAGTTCATCAGCGATGGCTAAGTTGAGCAGGTAGATGTTGGTGGCTGTCTTCATCTTGGCATAGCGCAGGATGACGAAGATGACCAGGGAGTTGCCCAGCAGCCCCAGCAGGCACACCAGGGCATAGATGCACTGGATCACCACCATGCCCGCAATCTCACCTGCTTTGCCACCCCACTCTGCTGGGCCCTGCTGCCTTCCAGCCTCCCCCGCTGCCATGCTGCTGTTGGGGGGCATCTCGGAGGCAGCCCAGCTGGATATAGTCCAGAGGGGCACACTGGCCACCTGGGCCCCTGCTGGGAGCTGCTCCATGTCAGCGCTCATGCCAGGAGGTGGTCCATGGATGGGACACTGCTGGGAATGGACACAGCCTGAAGGCAGGGCATGGGCAGAGAGAAGGGATGAGAGCTGCAGTATGGGGTGGAAGCAAAGCCTATCTGCCCCCCACCTCCCTCTGTCAACCCCCCTTCCTGCCTGCATGCCTCAGGGCGGCAGCATCACTATCCAGGTCAGAGCATCCTGGCTTTTTAGGGTCTCAGGGATTTCTCTAGACTGTATGGGGTCTCAGTGTGCTCTCTGGGCTGTTTAGGGCCTCAGTGGGCTCTCCAGGCTGTTTGGGATCTCAGGGGCTGTGGGCTGGGGTGGGCATTAACCGTGTGTGGGGCTCCTCAGCTGCCAGTGGCAAACCGAGAGGCATGGCCTGGGAGCCAACGCCATCCACCTTAACGAACCTCTGCAAATCTCCAGGATTTCATTAACCCTGCAGGGAAAGCAAAGAGAAGGAGAAAGCAAGATGGGAATATTTTACCTCTCAGTCTTCCAGGGATTGAAGGAGCCTCACGCCTCCCTCCCGAGGGGCTGCAGGGAGATGCTCCGGTAGGATCCACCGGCTGTTGCCAACGGAAAGTCCTGCTTGACCTGAATCAGATGACCAGAAGGATCCAAACCTTTTAAAGTGAAACACAGAGTAGAGATGGGCACACGGGCTGTGTTCCCTGTCCCTCATCCCTCCGCCGCAGACATCAGCTTTACGTTAAAAATAAATACAATGCAA